CCCAAACACGATAATGAGGTATGTTGTGATGTACTTCCTATGTTCTTAAATAAGTGCAATGGTCAACTTTTCATATTTGTCGATACACAACTTTGAACAATAATATATATAGTTCTCTATTAGTAAAAAAAAATTAAAAACTGATTTTGAATATTTACAATGAGACATATTTGACAATATTTTTTGAAAAAAATATTAATCATTAGTAAATACTTCGTAAATCGTAGTTAAAATAAAACATGTGAATAATGTAAAATTCAACGTGTTGCACTTATTTAAGAAAGAAAAGTTTCATAACGGTACGTCTCCTTTGGTATTCGTTAGTACAATACTCTCTTAGATCATCCTTAAGTAAAGTTATGGTTTCAGCCTTGGCTTGCGGCTAATCATGTTTAAAGTGCTTGAAAAAAAATATCTTTTTAAAAACTTTAAAAGTATTGTACTATAAATAACAATGATAATTCAAATTGGGAATAAAAGGGGGGGAGGGGGAGCAAGAAACATATGCTATCTTGCAAGCTAGGAAATGTGAAAATTATGGGGAATTGACATCTTCTGTAGAGTTTAATTTGCAAAAATGGAAACGTACTTTTCGAAAGAGTTCCCGTGCTTCATAGAACATATATATGCACACATGGTCAATTGGGGAACACAATGAATCGGAATTCATACTCATGTGTTCCAGGGAAAGAAAGAAAATCATTTGTGGGGGATTGAAATAGGTACAAGTGGCCTGCTGAGAAAAGTAAGAGCTGCAGTTGGAATAACAAGTGAACAACGTGGAGGATATACTGAATCCTAACTACCCTGCCATTCCTAGTTTTGGATGACTTGTCATGACAGCAGGCTGGCTCGTGCTCTTCTTCGTGGGATTACTTAGCAGCAGTTGCTGCTGCTGTGATCACTTTTTTGCCATTGCCGTTGGACTGAAAGCTGGTAAGGGCACAAAGAAGGGGAGGCGGCCAAGAAGGCATAATGATACAAACCACTCTGATTCAACAAAAGATCCCAGCTTCTCTGAAGTTCATTAGTATTTTAACACTTGAGAGACTTCTAAAAGGCTAATGTTTTAGTTTGGTCTCCTATGTACGTATTTCTTGAATTGGATGGTAAGCTCCTTTGATTTGCATTCATTCATAGTCTGTTGTGTGATTTTATTTTTGAATAGTTGTTGGCCTTAAAATTCTTAACTTACCCCGGCATTTCTCTTTGATTGGTCTAACTTGCATACACTTTTTCGTTAAGGATTCTTTTTCCTGATGCCGGGCATCAGGCGCCTTGCTTTGCTTTGGCAGGCAAGCAACTCAGGGGCGGATCTAGAAAACTAAGTTATTGGGGGCACCACGTATAAGGGAGATTTGCGATTTTAGTCTTATAACATTCGGCGGTTATCGTTATTGGTCCTGTAACTTTAATTATTTACATATTTTGATTATTTAACTAATAAATTTTTGTAGTTTAAGGACTTTTTCACCGAAAAGTACCCTTTCGGACAGAAAAATATGATGCCGGCGACATCAATTCCGGTATACTACCGCTAGAAAGTGTACTTTTCAGGGGAAAAGTCATTAAATCACAAATGTTAATTAGTTACAGGACCAAATTTGCAAGTGACTAAAGTTACGAGACTAATAATGAAAACGACCGAAAGCTACGGGATGAAAATTGCAAATTTCCCCTTGTATAGAATAATGATGTTTTTGATTGAATTCGTTTTAGTTTCATACTAGACTAGATCAGACATCGATGGTTGTAAAATACACATAGAATAAATATCCACTAGATTAAACCCGTTAGGCTAGATCAAATAGTTATAGAATAATTCGTTTTAATTGAATTAGTTTGCTTAAAAACAACTTAAGTAAATTAAATGTCATATCACCCCGTCAAAAAAACCTTGCCATTTCATAAAATCTGGCCCATGATTTTGATAGTATAATACTCCGTACTATGGAACTTATAAATTTTACTTTTATGAAAATATTTTTAACAAACAACATTTTCATATAATTTTTATATTATTAATAATTTTCAATAAAAATATATAATTGATCAAAGTTTTGAAAATAGTCGATAAAAAAAAGTTTTGAAAATGGTAAATTTTTTTTGGAAAGGAAGTAGTGTAAAAGATTGAAACATCGACATAACATTTTCAAATAAAAATCTTACGTAGTGCATTTTATTACCAATGCTCTCTAGGAGATTTCATTTTAACAAAATTATCTATCACAAATTAGTTTGTAACTACATGATCATCAAGTCAATCGTTTCCATTATTCCATATTACAAATAAAACAATCATTCGAATATAAATCATCAATAATACGATTGCACAAACTTGAATTGACAATAAATATTCATTGCAAAAACACAACCAATGTGATTAAAAAACACCTATAAATTTAAAAATTACATATAATTAAAGTATGGTGAAAATATGAAAATAAATTATTAACTGAAAAAGGAAGTAAATCTACAAACTAAATACTTGACTAGTCTATTTTCTTAGAAATCTAGCGTATATTAACAACTTTTCTAAAACTTATTTTGCTAACTTGGTTTACAGGCCGGCCGGTGTCCCTAAATAAATAAATTAGTAATAAAATAAATAGAAAATAAAGAATCAAAAGTTATGGGCTTGCCTCGCTTTTACTTTTTCAAGTCATCATAGAATGAAATGTAAGTGAGAAATGTAGAGTATTTAATGGGGGCATTTATATTGTTTTGTTGGGGGCACTAGTCATTAATTGATTAAAAATAAAACAAATTAAGCTAAAAATACACATGTTATTGGGGGCATGTGCCCCCCATCGGCAACTGTATGCATCCGCCGCCCGCCGCTTCCGCCGCTGCAGGCAAGGAGCGTACTTGGCCATTTTGAACGGATCACTTCTTGAACAAATATCAAGACCTCATTTTGAATATTTGTCCTCCAGAGTTTTTGGTACCTCATTTGTACCCCATCCCCTAGTTTGTGGTTCACAAAAGTCCACCACATTTTATTAATTGCTTTATTTTAATGAAGTGCTTTTGTGAACCACAAATATAGAGGTTGGGGTACAAATGAGGTACGAAATAGGGTACCTTTAGCATTTGTGTGTCTTCCATTTAAGTAAGGGCACTCTGCCTTAAGGCATGAGATCCAAATCCACCTGAGCAATTGTCATAGTCATTGAATCTAAAACAGTTTTAAAAAATAAATTCAAAAAAAGTGCCTTTTCAACGCTTTAAATTTCTTTTTAAATTGCTAGCCTGGCCTCTTAGAGCGTTAACTAACTAATATTGTGTCATTACATTCTCTATGCCACTTTGAACAGTGGCATAACCAAAAGAAAATTATTTAGATTTAGTTATTCTAGTTAGGGCTGAGCAAAACCCGAAGTTTTTTGCGGATATTACCCGAATCGAAGTGGATATCCGACCCGAAAATCCCGAAACCAAAAATCAGATTAGTATTGGGCCTAGACCGGGTGGCAGGTAGGGTTTGTAAAATCCCAACCCGACCCGCCCGAAATATCCGAAATATATTAAGTTATGTAGTGTGTACTTTGAATATGTTAAATTAATACTTGTGTTCAATTGTTTGTGTAATTATTTGTGCAATTTGTGTTAAATTATTTGTGTAATTTGAATGTGTAGTGTATTATTGTGTACAATTTTTGTCAAAGTGGCATTCCAACACTTTAATTATCCAATTATTATTTTTATTATTTTTTTAATATAACCGAAATATCCGAAACCCGATCCGACATCCGATAATATCCGACTTAAAAATATCCGAAATACCCGATTTGAAATACCAAGGGTCGGGCCTAGTATTTAAATTAAAAACCCGAACGGGTTTAGGGTACGCAGACCCGACCCGCCCGAACCCGACCCGTGCACAGCCCTAATTCTAGTATGGGATCACCCAGACCTCATCTCGGATTTAACCAAAGTGTGGCCGGGACCATCGAAATTTTAAGGTTTCAAAATCCAATTCCTCCAGAATAGGACTGGACAAGTCGGTTTAGGTATTAGCTTTTAGGAGGCTACAAGATCATGTTTGAACCGAATTACCGAACCAAACAGGTGATTCGACGTGATCGGAAACTAGACTGGTATTACTAGTTCCGGATCCTAGGACTAGAATTAGGCCAGGTTTGGCACTAGTGTTACTCCAAAAGAGTGTTTGCATTAACTTCAACTTTAGAAAACACATTTGTTTTACAGTATCTAAAAGATCATAGTAAACGATTTTAATGTTCGAAAAGAAAAGCGAGTCATTTTAGAGAAAAACAGAAATTATATTAAAAACTTATCAAAAAAAGTGAGTTTTTAAAAACAAAAAGTAATACTCCGTATGAAGTATTACCTCCGTCCCACTATGTCGAGACAGTTCGGTTTACGATGCTTGACCGACGATAAAACAAACAGATCTCTGTCCGCACTCAAATTAATTTTAGAAAAAAAAGATTGCATATTCAAAAACTACATTAAAAGCTTTACAGAGTCGCAAAAACCGGAGTCAAATTTGATAAAATTAGATAAATAAAGTAAGAGATTAAAAGTGATTTGTGTTGACCAAGTGAATAGTGTCTGAGACGATCTTAGCGTGACAGTAATTGGTAAAGAAATAATTTTTGTAATACAAAATTGAAAGACAGTGGTAAACACTCAACTGTTTGCTTACAATTTTTACGTTTTAGCTTTATCATGTTTAACTTTAAAGTATGTCCTGTTTGAAATCACTACTTTTAGCTCTTTAAAGCAAAATGCACTTTAAAAAAATGTTACTCCTTCCGTCCCATAAAACTTGATAAAATTTCCTTTTTTGGCCATTCCAAAAATCTTTGTCATTTCCATTTAAAGTAAGGAATACGTGACTAAAGTTAATTCTCTCTCTTCTACACAAATATCAACCACACAATTTTTACTTTATTAATCTACGCGCAAATCAACTTTGGCCAAATTTTGCGGGACGAAGGGAGTAAATGATTTGAAGGAGAACAAATAGGGCTTAAAAAATCAAAGGTTGACAAAAAGTCAAACATTTAGGGAGTTATTCTATCCAGGACAAATTAAGAAAGCTATACGCTTCAAATAGATACTCATGACCTTTACCATATGATGCCCTAATGCATACTTAACAAAATCATTTAACAAATTCAACAATACAAAGATTAACCCAAGTCTAGTTCAGTTTTAATCAGCAGTAGCTTAAGATAAGTTCCCCAAAAAGAAATAACGCATAAGTTCTGGGTTTCCACCCCTACCAAATACTCATTGCTAGCTGTCAAAATGGCCTGAGGAAGACTTCCTTTCTATTCAACACAGCACCATTCATGTTCTCAATAGCTTTCTGCATAGCTTGCTCACTGTCATATTCTATTTGACCATACCCCTTAGACAGACCAGATGCATTAGCTGCCACCTTGCAAATAACAATGTTCCCAAATGAAGAAAATATAGTTTGCAGTACCATGTCATCAATTGACTTATCCAGATTCATGATAAACAAGCCCTTAGCACCACTTTTCAAAATTGAGGGATCTTGATGGGGATACACTATATGTATGGGCTTTCCATTGAAAGGAGTGAAATTAAGCACCTCCAACGCTCTGGATGCATCCTTTGGGTTGCTATAGGACACATAGCCAAAACACAAAGACTTGTGGCTAGTGAAATCTGTGCATACACTAGCCGAGACCACTTGCCCAAAATGGCTGAAGATACCATAGAGCTGTGAATCTGTTACATCCACATGAAGATCACTAACATAAAGAGATGTCCGGAACTGGTCTAGACCACCACAGGATTTCCCAACTTGAGATTCAACCTGAATTTGTATCATCAGATTCACAACGTTAAAAATGGATGTCATTGTAAAATATTCTTCCACATTCACTTTAATAGTTTTAACTCATAGCATGTGTTATTAACAGATAAATACTCTCTACATATCAACAACAAAAGTCATGTTTCAATAGTTTTTTGGCAAAAAAATATAGTCCAGGTTTATAAGTAGTCTTCCATTAATTCATTATTAGGTAAAAATGTAATATTCTTGTAAAGAAAAAAGCAAGAGGATGATGAGTTCATGCAATATTGGAAATAAGTTTTGGAGGTTTAAGTGACCATTGAAAATTTGTAAAATTTGACTTAAAATAAAAACACCTTTCTTGAGAAGGATGTTAGGCAAGCATGAAGATTTTTTTCAAACGCCATTAATAAGCAAAACTTTTGCCATATTATTTTCATGATTAATAACACCCAACAATAAAACATGAACTTCACCACATCAAATTATAGCATAAAAATATTTTCAGATATGTAGGCATGGTGTTCCACTACAAGTACCTTAATATTATTTTGTTGTTTGTGTTGTAGTTCTTCCAAAGCTTCTTTAGATTTATTCACATCTCTAGTCCATGAAGAAGCCAATTCAAGCTTTGGATTCTTACTTTTATAATCACCAAACATAGAACTGTTGTTACATCCTTGGTTTTTGATAAACCGCCCATTATCTTGGCTTTTGTGGCATCTCCAGTTGTCATTAACGCTTTTATTATTCCTGCATATGCCACCTCTACTGTATGAATTTCGTTTATAGCATTTCTTAGAAACAAAACTATTGCTTCTGAAATCCCCATAATCGTCCCCAATATTATACCCTGAGTGCTTTGACTTGCTACCAAAAGCACTGCCAACACTAGAAGTTCGCTCTTGGGCATTAGCTTGATGTCCTTGTTCTGATGCATCACAGTAATCTCCTTTTGAAACCATTGAATCATGCTTTTCTGAACAAGGTCCATCTGCAATGCCATGGTACTTCTTTTGCAAGGCATCCCAGGCTTGTTTGGAATTGCTTGCTTTGGCAATGCAAGAGAAAACAGATTCGTCTATAGCTTGCTGGATAAAAAGCAACGCCGTGGCATCTTTCTTTTGAACATAGACTAATTCTTCAACACTAAGCTCTTCTGTGGTGTAACCTCCTTCCACCAAATATCAAAGGTCTTGGGAAATAAGCATAGTCTTCATCATATTGCTCCATGTCTCAAATTGCCTCCCATTGAAGAGTGGAATTCTACTCAACAAGAAACTAGTAGATGTTTTCCATTTCACAGAAAAAATGTAAGACTGTCACTAACAATACACAAGTACAATATTATAACTAGGTCAACAATAGCTCATCCCTTATTAGTCTTTATACAAGGATGTTATCACACATTCACACATGGATTCAATCCTTAGTGACACATTAGAGGGACTGTGCGTTTATTCTTGATCCCTGAACCCTAGAGAGTAAAAAATGGTACATCCTGATGCATTCAGATGCACAGTACGCATGGTACATCCCGGGAGAGAATTTTTGGATGTAAAATGAATATTCTTTACATGCAAATGCAATGAGAATGAGCAGAGCAAGAAAAAGAAACACGGTACTGAAACAAGGATTATTCAGATGCAAAATGAACGTTTATAAAAGACCACTAAAAAAATACACCTAAAAAACCATAGCTTTATGTTTCGCTACTCTGCCAATTAACTTAACGCTTGAAAACTGTGTGTTAACGTTCAGAATTCAATAAAATCCATTACACCTGCTACTCTGTCATCTCTACCCGAGCCAGAGGCAGATCCATGTATAGCTAACAGAAGATTTAAGATTCATAAATAGTGAAATAGTTATATAAAAAAAGCATTAATTTTTCATTTTTATCAGTCTTAATGAATAGATTCTTGAATAAAATACCTTTATCGCTACTGGCAGTTTATTGGATTTAAGACATGTACGAAGGAAAACTTCCTGTTGTGTTCTCTTATTAAAAACCATTCTAAGGCATATATAGATATTACAGATGGGAGAGAGGCAATAGCCAATAATGTGCTTGCCTAATAAGTGACCAATATAAAATAATAATACATATGGTTAATACAGTTCAAGTATAAATGTGTTTTATACACTTATAGTACTTGAATGACTTTATTATAGGTTTTTGATATTGTAATATGCTTTCTTTAGTTTGAACCAGTCTGTATAACAAACTTTAACATAGAACATATACTTAACTAATATACTTCATTAAAGTTTTTACCATGGATATACCTTTAAAAAAAATTAAAGGTTCAATTTTGTAGGACAACAGGTGATTAAGTTCAGTAGCTTACTGAATATCAGCCGCAGATGGGATCTCCACAGAATCGACATTCCCTTTCCTCGGCAAAAACCCTGCCTTATGTGCACAATCGATACCTGCAGAAACAGCGTTGAATACGCTACTCAGTGCCGCCGCGGCTTTGACTATCCTGATCATCATGGCATATCAACTTCACCTGACTCTATCGAGTAATATCTTCACTGAATCAAGGATAAGTATGCAGGTGACCTGTAAGGCCTCAAACTGATACTCAAACTGAGAATGCCTGCGGTCTTCTTTCTCAGCAGTGAACTGAGTAGTGCTTATGGGACGGACGGGTTCTAATATCGCCATTCCGGATGCGCGTGAGAGGAATGGAGAAAGACGGGAAGACGATTCAGTTTCTGCGTAAATTCCGATGGAGAAGATTCGATTGCTCCTTTAAAAGTTTCACAAGATTCGATTAAAACTATGGTTCTAGCGTACACGCACAAGGTTCGAGTTCCTTAAAAGTTTCCCTTAAAAGCCAACTGTATTTAGGGATGGCAATGGGGCGGGGTTGGGGCGGGGGTTCACTCCCCCATCCCCGCCCCGTGTCTAAAAAATCGCCCCCACCCCCGCCCCATCCCCCACTACTATTCTACCCGCCCCATCCCCCGCTCCGACCCGCTAGACCCACGGGTACCCAACGGGGAAGTACTCGTAAAAATTTAACATCATTTTAGACTCTGACAATTTTTCAAAAATTTAACAACACTTCTAGTAGCCAATTTTTTTTTTTACTTTTTAAGTGTCAATGTAATCTTACATCCCATTTCAAATGTAGAACACATTATACGCGTTCTAAATTAGTAATTTTTATCAAACTCTAAATTAGCATTGATTAGCTCTATAATATTTTCTTAAACCCTGCATTCAATCAATCATGGTCATTTGACGACATCTAGGACGACATATGATCACCAAATTTTAAGAGCCCTAACTACAATCATAAAGATGACATTCAAAAGAAAAGAATTAAAGCATTATAATAGTAAAGGAAAATAACTTTCACACCGTGCCTGAGGCGTTTAATGTAATATCACTTTATAACTTTCCCAAATTCATTTTATTTTATCTCTAAAAAAATCATTTTACTTTATGATTTTGATAAGCAATTTTACAAGATAGCTTAGTTATTAAACAAGAATTAGATAAATCCATTACGCACAATCCATTAGATAGGAAACCACTAAACCCACCGGGCCACCATGCTATTTTAATTACTTCGTATTAGTATTACTATTATTATTAGTATTATTATTGAGATTATTATTATTAATTATTACGGGGGACGGGGCGGGGACGGTGCGGGGGGTGCATAACCCATCACCCGCCCCATATTTATGCGGGGAGAAAATATCTCCCCCACCCCACCACCCGCCCCACCCCACCACCCGCCCCAACTCCCTCCCACGGGGCGGTTCCCCACGGGCCCCCGCCCCCATTGCCATCCTTAACTGTATTTCGTTAGATGCAGAAAAAATTGATTTTCATTGTTGTAAAAGTAATTGACCCCGAAAAAGAGACTCTCTTATTTACTCCCTCCGTCCCTTAAAACTTTGCCAACTTTCTTTTTTTGGATGTCCCACTAACTTTGCCACTTTCTCTTTTAAGTAAAAAATTTGTGGTTCATGTTAATTCTCTCTCCTCTGTACAAACCTCTACCACACAGTTTTTACTTTATTAATCCTCGTGCCGGTCAAACTAGGCAAAGTTTTAAGGGACGGAGGTAGTATTTCATAGGAGAGACATGTACCCATAATTATAAGATCAATGGTAGCGGAGCAGTTCGTAGTAGCCTGTTGGTGGCAGATAGGGATGTACTCCCTCCATCCCGGTTGTAATGTTCTCGTTTTCCTTTTTTGGATGTTATCTTACATCCAAAACTGTGTCAAATAATGCAAAACAGTGTCAAACAGTGCCAAACAGTGTCCAAACAGTGTCAAAACAGTAAAATTTACCTTCTGGTAAGTTTATTTCCTTAATATGTGTAGGTCAAACCGGGAACATCCCAACGGGGCGGAGGGAGTAGTAAAAGCACTGTCGAATATGATGGATATTGGAGATAGTGTATTCTATTAACCGTAAATTATATGGTACACCCGGCTGTACCATGAGCATGGTACACCCGGCATTTTTGTAATTAGTTCGAAATTATAGCCTTATTGTTAAGTAAGTGCTCCCTGCTTTCCGTCCCTTTTCGGCTGCTTCTATCCATTCTTCCTTCCCTTTTTTGCCACCGTTTCACTTCGTTGTTTGCTACTCCGATTCTTGTTTTTGTTTTGCTTTTTCGTACGTTGCTTGTTAGTTCTTCTTCTCCTCGTTTCATTTTCTTTCTTTTTAATTTAACAAACTTTTTGCTTTAATTTGTTACTCAATTATTATGAAAGCATGCCATATAAAATATTATTTGATGTTGGTTTTTTTCAATCAATCTTCCAACTTAAGTTTTTTAATTTGTATTGTAAAATATTTTAGATATTAATACTTTATTTTTCTATTTTTAATTTAGGATGAATATTAACTTGATTATTAAATATTATGTGTTAATTACTAACATGAGTTTTGTGTTATACTAAAATGAGTATAGTGTAAAATAAATATGCATGAGTAAACATTATAGAAAGAACCCGATTATATTTTTAATTCGAGAACGTAACTAAAGACTATAAATTATTTTTAATAGGAAATTACTAAATTTGTCATTCTTATATTTGTCATTATATTTGCACAAATGGATATTTAAACACATTAGAGAATTCAAACGAGATTTTGAAAATTTCGATGCTCATTCGGTAAGCTACATATGATCATCTGGTACTGGTTTTATGCTCATTTTAAAATGTCATATTGATGCATCTTTTAAAAGTGTCATATTGAATTCACACAAGAGTTAAATTATACACACGAGAGCAGAGATCATGATACTCAATTGCACTCTTCTAACACTCGATAGAGGAGAATTGATGTTCAATGAAAATGTCTTATGCTCAATTAACAAAGCTTATGATTTTCATATCATTACTCATTTGGTATGTAATGCATGCTCATTGGATATTGGTGTTTTGCTCATTTAAAATGTTATATCAATGCATATTTCAAAAGTATCATATTACAATATATTCATGTAGGAGTTGATTATAGATACAGAAGCACAGATCATAATATATACTCAATTGCATGTTTCTAATACTAGTAAATGTTTGGTTCTTAATGAAAATGTCTTGATGCTCCAATATAAAACTTATATTTTGACATCAATGCTCATTTTGTAAGTTACGTATGTTCAATTTATGCTCATGTTGTGCTCATTTTTTAAATGACACAACAATGCATATTAAGAAAGTACCATATTACATTAGATTCACATATTGAAGTTCATAAAGTTTTTTTGGGAGAAATTGGCTTATATTATCATAGGATTAAATTATAGATATAATTTTAATGTGTTTTTATATAAGAAAAAACAAGAAAAAGAAAGTGAATTACAATATATGAAATTGATATCACAATACTCATATTTGACTCTTAATGCTCAATAGAATACGTCTGATACTCATTAAAAATGTATTAATGCTCATCTAATGAAAACCACGATTTTCACTAATATTACGAAAATGCCACCGTTTTTTAGTTGTGATATAAGCTTTCTTGTAATAACTCGGTGCTCATTATTAGACGCTTAATACTCATTAAACTTGAACTATTGCTCATTAACAATACACTAATGCTCATTTAGTATAAAGCGCGATTTTCACATTATTACAAAAATGTCACCGAATTATTTTACTATTTTTCCCTTGGGCTTGTTTCTGGGCCGGCTGTACGGTGTTCACCGTACAGCCGGTTGTACAATATAGTACTCTCTATTAACCTCACTTGCGGTGCATTTTGTCGAAAATGGTAAATTTCAAAAAAAGATGTAAATAAACTTATTAGTCACAAAACTTGATCAATCAACCCATAAAAACATAGTAAATCAATAGATCTCCGAAAGTTCAAAAAAGACTCACATATCCTTACACCAGTCATGTTAATATGTTATTGAACGAGGTTTGTATTGATGTATATTGCCAATAAAAGAAAGTTTCATAACGTCTCCTTTCCGTGTTCATTACTCTCTCATCCTTACGTATAAGTTATGGTTTCAGCCTTGGCTAATCATGTCCTAATAGTATTTGATTAAATTGGAAGTTAAAGTATTTGAAAAAACGTCTCTTCAAGATCACTTTATAAGTATTACGTAGTAAAACCTTAAAAAAAGGTATTACGCAGTAACTAGTGTTGTATACTATAAATAACAATGCTAAAATGGGCTTAAAATACTAGAAAAAACATTAAACATAAATTGCACGAAAATGTGAAAAATCACGGAGAAACAAGAAATGGGAAGTGTTGTCTTTTACTAGAGTTTTTGTATAACTTGGGAAACATAAACGTACTCTTTCCGGAGAGTTTCCATACTTCATAAAACATATTTATATACACGTGGTGGATCGGGGAACACAACAAATCAGACTCCATACTAACATGTGTTCTGGGGAAAGACAGAAAATCATTTGTGGATTGAAATAGGAACAAGAGGCCAGCTGAGGAAAGTAGGAGCTGCAGCTAGCAAAGGGCACTCACTATGAACAACATGGAGGATATACTGAATCTTAACAATCCTGCCATTCCTAGTTTTGGGAGGTCCTTTGTCATGACAGCAGGCTGGTTCGTGTTCTTCTTCGTAGGAATACTTAGCAGCAGTTGCTGCTGCTGTCATCACTTTTTCACCATTACTGTTGGACTGAAAGCTGGTAAGGGCACAAAGAAGGGGAGGAGGCCAAGAAGGCATAATGATACAAACCACTCTGATTAAATGATCAAAAAGTTCCCAGCCTCTCTGAAGTTCATGAGTATTTTAACATTTGAGAGACTTTTAAAAGGCAAACGTCCAAACTAGTTTGGTCTCATATGCATGTATTATTTCTGGAATCGGTAAGCTCATTTGATTTGCTTCCATTTTTAGTCAGTTGTGTGATTTGGTTTA